GTCGACTCTAGCCTCGGTACTGTGGAAGCACTCCGCCGAGTTAATGAACTTAATGCACTTAGAGCATTTTCTGTGGGGACACACACACTCAAATATATAAAACCGATTTCTAAAAAAACGACTTCTATAAATTCGACCTTATTCCGTAGTGTAGACATACCCTAAGAGACACTTTCAAATCTGGAACAGTAATATGCTAGAGAGGACTTTCCAGTTTCTGGAAAGTCTTATACTTCTTTGAGATTGCTAATCTCTCCCCACTAGACATGACAGCGGTAAAGTAAAAATTCTGGTTTTGAAATATATCAGGTTGTACCAAGTGTCCAGCATTTCCAAGTAATACTTTGTGGAAGTACACACCTGGGTTTTTCTACAAAATCTTTTCTCACTCCCTCTTTCAGATTACATGGGTGGATGTCAACATACTATATCCTATTTTTGCTATGATGTCTGGCACACTTGTCTCTTACGTACAGTATCAATAGGGCTGTATCAAGTTCACAGCCATGAAAAACATGTCACGGACTGTGATATCTGGTCCCCCACCCCCCTGTGAAATCTGGTCTTTTGTGTGCTTTTATCCTATACTATACAGACGAAATCACAGTTTCTCAAATTGGGGGTCCTGACACAAAAGGGAAGTGCAGGGAGGTCACACAGTTATTTTAGGGAGGATCGTGGTATTGCCAACCTTACTTCCACACAGCCTTCAGAACTGGGTGGCCAGATAGTGGCGGCTGTTGGCTGGGCGCCCAGCTTTGAAGGCAGCACCCTGCCAGCAGCAGCGTAGAAGTACGGGTGTCAGGGTATGGCATTGCCACCCTTACTTCTGTGCTGCCTTCAGAGCCAGCCCTAACCCCTATGATTACAACACTGTGAAATTTCAGATTTAAATAGCTGAAATCATGAAATTTACTATTTTTAAAAGCCTATGACCATGAAATTAACCAAAATGGACCATGAATTTACTAAGGCCCTAATTTTGGAGTTTTGGGGTGGAGGGGTTGTAAGATCTTTGGGGCAGAGACTGTCATTTGCTATATATTTGTATAGTGCTTAGCATAACGGAGCATTGACCATCTTGGCCTGTAGGCACTCCCCATTATAAGTGTTAAATAATACTCTGGATTGTTTTCAGGACGTATTAAAGCAATCACTTCCTTTGTCAAAAGTTGTTCCCTCCTTCTTTGGTTACAGTTTTGGGAAAATAATTTAAATGGGGGTAAATAACAGACTAGCCAATTCTAATCTGAACGAGAGCCTTTATCTTCTTTCCCCTCTGGGTTTATCCCCCTCTTGCCTATGCTGCTAGTCTGGCTCATTGGTTGCTGCAAGAAGCTGCACTGCTGGAACACTAGGCCTCTCACAAGCTAACAGGGAGGAAATCGGGAGTCCCTTCTTAAAATAGTGGCAGCAAACCAATGACTTGGGAAAACTTTAAAATATATCAGATTAACACGTGAAATCTGTTCTGATGTTTTCTCAGGTGACATCAGTGATTGCGGTAGGCTGGGAAAGCTAAACAGCACTAATATTGCAGTTGTCTCCCAAGTTTTAAAATGTTGGTGTCACGGCTCTCTGCCTCAGTTTCCCCATTTGTTTAATGAAGATAAAAATGCCTGTCTTCCAGGGGGTGTTAATGAGACTAAATCATTAATGTTTAAAAATCTTTGCAATCTCCTCATGGGAAAATGATATAGAACTGCAAAGTATCATTATTACGGTAGATTACATGTTGCAGTTTTCCATCATAGACCCAGTTTCCTGGTCGAGGAAACAGTTTTGCTATGTTATCAAAGGAGTTGTCTTACACAGGTGGATTCCTGATTATGCACAATACTCATTTTCCAACTAACTCATGGTATGCAATAACTTAGCCTGTCCTGGGGCAATTAGGTTGAATATTAGGAAAAACTTTTTCACTAGGAGGATGGTGAAACACTGGAATGCGTTACCTAGGGAGGTGGTGGAATCTCCTTCCTTAGATATTTTTAAGTTCAGGCTTAACAAAGCCCTGGCTGGGATGGTTTAGTTGGGGATTGGTCCTGCTTTGAGCAGGGGGTTGGACTAGTTGACCTCCTGAGGTCCCTTCCAACCCAGATATTCTATAATTCTATGATTCTATTCAGACATCATGTTCAATGAACCATCTGTGGGAAGGGCCTCAAAAAGGCCAGCTGCCTTCAACCAAAGTAGTACTTTCTATTTTATTAGACTTATCACACCCACTTCATATTCCTGGTTATAAAACACATCTGAGTACCCCTATAAACTATCTAAAAACCAAATGTGAAACTTTCCCATAAATCCCTATGTCTTCATCCTGGATCAGCTATTTAAAAGGACTAAATTCTAATTTCAGTGGGAGCCCCTGTCTTCTTTCCCCTCTGGATTTATTCCCCTCTCTCCCCTGCTGCTAATTTGGCTCATTCCTCTGGCCTCCTGATACACCTGGTGCATAGAGCCAAAACCATGCATTTCCCCAAAGGTATTTGAGTGACTTCAGCCTCAGAACAACTGTAATTCCCAAAAGCTTGTGGGTAAAGCAAGTGCTTCTTGCTACCTGACATCACGAACAATTATACTTGGATACAAGTTCTGTGATTAATAGACCAATATGCCAACCTGTCACAATATGCATTATCCTCATTATCCTGGAATCTAACTGACACTTCACAATGGATAATCTTGAAGTACAAATCCTCATCATAGGGAGCCATGATATTAACCCACAGATTATGTTTGAATTCTTTTGGATTATGTACAAAAACAGAGCATTTAGGGCAAGATTTTCAAAAGTGTCTAAGGATTGGGTGTGCCTAAATTTTTGGATGTCCAACTTGATGCATCTTAAAAGATCTAAACTTTATAAAGAGGTGTACAACTGATCTCTGAAAATCAGGCTCCTTTTCACAGATTCATAGATTATTGTGAACATCTAGTCTGATCTCCTGCCTTACACAGCCCTTGGAATGTCAACCAGTAATTGCTGCATTAAGCCCATACCTTGTGATTGAGCTGAAGTATATTATTTTAAAAAGGCATTCAAAGTGTCTTAAATTTGGCACCCAAAACCAAAACCACCCTAACTCACTGGTAACATCTAAAAATCTTGCCTTTAAGACTTTGTTTATTAGACAGCACCCTGACAAACATCATATAAGTTTATAAGTAGTGAGCCAGCTTTCAAAGGTTTGCGGCACCTTCAACAGAATTGAGAGCTACGTTTCCGGCCAGAAAGCAACTTCAGAGCTCTATAGGTAGTTGAGTTTGTCAGCTGATGCCTCAGTGATGTTTGTGAACCTTTAAGTGAATATTTTCCACACAGTTCAGGAGCCTGTGTGTCCTGGCTCGAAACTCCTTGGCAATCTGGCCATGGCCAAATCTGATACTACAGATGGGCAAGATGTGAATACTACCACCACTTCCTGATACAGAGCTCCATTTTTGCTTTTTGACCCACACTTCTCCCTACTGTCTTCTCTGTAGGTATCTTCCACATCTTCTTCCACTTGATTGCTCTTTACTGTGGAGAAGGATCTGCTTTTGTGGTTGTACTGCCAGACCTCAAGATAGCCACTACCACTAGTCTTGCTCAGCTGGACCAGTCCAGCCGAAGCACTGATCGGTTCCAGCTGCTGGGTGCTGTCTCACTGCCTGACTACTAAAGAGATGACTCATCATGCAGAGAGTACAATGTGAAGCCAATGGAGATGCCGGTAGCTTCTGAAGGAACTGGTGGAAGCTCCTTGCTTGGGATATTTAAAACTGGACTGGAAAAATGCTAGACAATTACTGTAAAGCACAATCCTGTACTGGCATGGAGATGGAGTCGACTAAACAGTTTCTTTTTTCATTTTAGCTCCATAATTACACTGCTCTAGACCTCAGAGCTCCAGTGATGGACCAAGGAGGTACTTGGCTGCATAAGTATGTAGATGGTTTTTGACCACGGGGCATTTTAAAAGCACAGAGAGGAAGAAGAATGTTGTTGCTGCACGTGTAGGGGACGAGAGAACTCCTGTCTGAACTATTGGCCAGCAGCCAAAATCCTGTGGGATCCATGCAGCACTTAAATCACACAGTTGCAGCCCTCAGAATACCTAGGAGTAATTAAATAGGCTGGTCCAGCTGAGCTAATCTCCTCCTGATTTCCAAAGCAAACCTGCTCCCCAGTGAAGACAGGAAGCAGTACTGCAGGTGAACGCTCCTATATTCTCATCACTGTAAAAAGGAAACATGGCCCTTAATGTGTAAGAAGATCTAACTTTGGGGTTCTCTAGTGCAAAATATCATATTTCCAGATTTGTTTTTAAAGACCTGCTTTCAAAAATGCCACCAAGGTCTCTACTCCTTCAGAAACACTTAAACATATCTTAAGACATGAATGCTGGGGTTTTTTTTTATATAAAATACCTGTTTAAATGTTAGAAATACTTTTTGTATGTGAAACAAACAAAGTGTTAGGATTTCAAGTTTCTAAATATGTTGTATCAGTTGAAGGGGATTTGAGACAAAAACAACTGGGTTAGAGTAACAAATCCCACACACTCTTGTAGTTATGGGAATAATGTGTTTTGTTCCATCAATATGTCCACTTTACATTATTCAGCACAAAGCTTTGTGAAATAAGAATCATGGGAATATCACAATATAAAGGAAAAAGGTACAAATAACAGCTTCATAAACCGAGCAATGTACATAAATAAATCATGTAGATGGGGGCAGTTTGCTTAGCTAGCAAGAAACAAAATATGGAAAATCTGCTTGTTAAACAATAACCACAGAGTGTGCTTTTATGATGTTTTTTCACCACAGTAATTCATATTAGAGATAGAAGCAGTTGCATGTTAAATAAAATCATTCAGCATTGTTCTCCTCGCATTACAAAGAGCTGACTTATGTTGTTTTTAGATGCCTCCCATTAGAAAGTAAATATTCCTCTGATGCTATACGTTTCACAAAATTTAATAAAGATGAACTGTAAATAAAGTCACAGGGAGATTTCAGACAGTTTTATTAGCAGATTGTTGAAAAGAAAAAGAAAATTAAATACAATAACAGTAAACGTGGTTCTCACATTGAAACCAGGCTCAAATAACTAGGCTACCATAGAAAAATTTCCAATTCTTGCATTATGATGTAAAAACAGATTTTTGTACAGATTTTGTACAACAAAATTCGTAATAACCTTTTATCATTTTTAGAAAACTTTAAATATATAGATAAAAATAGACAATTTTCATAGGTCCTACATGAAGATGAGAATGTTCTGTTCCAAGGGCTTGCATAGAGCGCAAATGTGGTTATAATATAGAACAACTAGACATTAATATCTTTAAGATTTCAAAAGCATATAAACAATACCATGAGCACACTTTTTCATCATAATCTATGCAAAAACAAACAAACAAACAAAGAAAAAACAAAACAAACAAAGAAAAATCCCAGCAACCCAAAACTTGTGTAACTGAAGAGGGGCAAAAGTTCAACTGACAGTTAACATTTCATGAATTGTAATATTTACACCATTTTATTAAGCTCTTAATATCCATCTTATAAATTGTTTCCCCCTTAATCCTTAACATTTCCATTTATGTACCAAGCCAAACACTGAGGCATTCCTAAAGGTCTTGAAAGTATATACTGTAAAACTATTAAACTGACTTACAGGTGACTCTATGCAAGGAGCAGAGCAATGGCAGATGCTACTACATATTTCAGTTGTCGGCTTTAATTCTTTTTCAGATATGAATGATTCTAAAGCTTGCCACAGTCCATCAAAATTTACATCTGTTAACCCTTTAAAGACTGCATATGAAAAAAGTGGTGTACAGAATCTCTGAAGTGTTCAAGCAACTATGAAAGAATCATGATTAAAAAACAATGTTGCTATAAAGTATTTGGTAACAATATTTAACGAAAAATATTGCTCGATATTTCTTTTAAAAAATTACCATGATGTGAACTTGTATATACAACTTTTCTATTGTTAGAAAAGGATTGTGGTGGCCTAAATAAGAGTGTATCAGCATGGCAAGGAAAGACCTACAAACCATCGAAGCACAGAGCTAGAGTTTACAAATCTTTAGATTTTTTTTTTTACTTTGATAAAATAATATCCAATCAGAACTATTTTGTAAAGGAGAATTTTCTTAAGTTAGGCATCTTAGACATTTAAGTTTCTGATATGTTTCCATATAATAAATAACATTTTATATGCATACAGTATGACAGATGAAGAAAGCATAATCACAAAACTTACAGTAACAATGCTGATTCACAAAATCAGTCTTTAAAGGGGTAACTTAAAATTATGCAAAGCAAGGAACGTAATGTAAGTATGTAATAAGCAGTGTGTTGCAGCTTACTTCCAGTTATCAGCACAAAGGTGAAAACACATTGTAGCTTTCATAAAGACAGTGAAAATAACACATAACCACCCTTCCCTAAGATAAGGTGAGGGAAGAACAATAGACTTCAACTGTATCACTCAGCTCTACGTGGTATTGGACTGATACATCAAGTGTTTGTTAGGTTTTCTTTTTAGCAACATTGACGTAATATGACATTAACATATAAAAATATTTCTGACGTTTTGACTCACTGCTCAGCCACAGTCCATTCTTAAATGTGCTGTTTCAGGGCACTAACCAGGGATCAATATACAAATAAAAGTGGCTGATACGGAATTCTGATTCATTACCAGATGCTTAAGATCTCATTCATTAATACTGTGACTCCAGGACAAATATTTACATGCCTGCATGCGTTAAAACTAGAAAGGCGTCTTTCTGACAAACAGGGTGACAAAACATTATCTAAAATGTTCATTTTCCTAAACGCTAGTATTCTACTGCATACATAATACCTTCCTGGTGTGGTTTGTGTTTATATACTGTACACGTGACCAACAGTTTGAATAAGAATCAAAGTCTTTTTTTCCCCATAAACCCCTGCCAGTTTAGAATGAGAAATTATTACTCGTTTTATTTTTTTTTATGTTTATTTTAGGAAAAGAGAACAGTGAAACAGTTTTGCTTACATTCAGCATTTCTTTTCTCTTAGACAAAATTTCATTTTACTTCATGTGGTCTAGCATCCATGTGTTGGTCTCCTGGAAAGCATGTGGAAAAAAAGTCTTTAGAAGAAAACCCACGTTCACAGAGTTTGAAAATTGAATATAACAGTTTTTTTTTTCCTTTTCCTTTTTTTGTCGGAATCCTCTTATGCCCCCATACAAGTTTACTTCTGAGCTGACTTGCTGGTTTAGGTATGACAAAACAGTCTGTAAGTGTAGGTGGATACTGCTGGAAGGATTGTTTGATGTGCTCAAATACAGAATCATCAGAGGAGGACAGAGTTTTCATTCCATTAAAAAGGGAATGCTAGGCCTTGTTCTGACTGGTCTGTAACTTTGTATACAAGGGTCCAATAGCAAAGCTGCAGTTTTTGACTGTAAGAAGAGTGAAACTTGTACATTTACAAACATTCTCTAGGTCTCTGGCTTGAGCCACAGGTGATAACCAATGGAGAACACTCTTGCAGAATGCTTTAAACTTTTGAAGAACATTGATACACAAAGTTAAGGAAGTTGCCTTGAAAACACTTTGTTTTTGTAGAACTTCCAAATAGTGAACGTCTTTCTGCAAAGTTCTTTACCGTAGCACAAATCGCTTCTGCAGGAAAAATTCAGTACATGACGGTAGTTTTCAAATAAAGTCTTCCATCTAAAGAAAAGAAATATTTTCTTTAAATATTCATTCCCATACTGTATCAACGTAAATAACAGTTACTTTGTAAAATGGATAAAATTTCATGCACTATAAAGCTATTTTAAATGAGCAATGTTATCAAGAAAACTGTTGACCTTTCACTGATGTAGCATCACCTATATGAATTCAAAATTAACTCCATCGACAATTACATACAGTTTGCAAGCTTTGGACACTGCAACTAATTCTAATACCTGTAAAGCTTTTATATATGCTGCATTCATATCAATGCACAGAGTAGGAAAGTGGGTGGAGCTTCTGTGCATGTGTTTTTACTGATATACAAACTTAACTGAGTACTACTGAACAGCAATTACTTCCTTCATGGCTACAGAGCAAAAATATTCCTGCATGCAACCACGAGTACTCCCATCACTTAAACGCATAAGCTTATAACTTATGCTTTAGCTGTGTTGTTAAATATACCATGTAATGCGTTGTGCACATTTGTAGCTATTTATATAGAACCCAGGATAGGGTATTTAATCTGTATCAGTGAGCCTTTTCTCCCATAAGTGAGATTAACTAAACCATTACTGTGTTAAAGATGCAATCATATCTCTCAACTTTTACCATCCAACAGAGAAACAGACATTCAAGTGGTGGGGAACCATGAGTAATAAATAATAAATTATTTGAGTCAGTAACACTAGAAATAGAAGCACTGGGATGCATAGAGTCTTCTGCCCAAAAGTATTGTAACCTGATTTATAAGTATAAAGCAAAACCTCCTGCTTTATGAGTTCAAGATGTAAAATATACAGCTCTATGTATATGCATATTTCAAAAGGGGAAATACACAAGCTCATGGGATCATTCTTACTATGATGTCCTGTGTGGTAAAAAGTGCAGGTTCTCTGGCTCTAAACTACTGAGATTAAGGCAAATTGTGCAGCACATTAATCATGCACAATGGATAATTATAAAACACCCAACCTAACCATGAACCTCAGAGCAGTACGCTACACATCTGTATTTGAAGGCACATGCAGCACAGAAGTCCTTTCGGTTCAACCCCAATAGACCAACAAGTATTTGCAACATATTTTTCCAATTCAACCTGGTTAATCTGAATTAGTCTGTAAGGTTCACTTTAGGAAAAATTAAGGTCAACAATTCAGTGCAATGCAGATTTACTGATAACCAATGAAGTCTATTAAATGCTCAGACAATTGCATAAAACACCTGCAACAGTAAAATGATCCTACTATAAATACTGAGAGAAACAAAGAGAAGCTTCCCTGAAGAACAGCTGAAATTATAACACAAATGTAACTGACCATATTCTGTCCTCAATTACACCCCTTCTAACCCCATTGCCAAGCTTCTGTGGTGGCTGCACTCAGTACTAAAGATGTCTAAAGCAGTACTAAAGCTAAGTACCTCTGTAGGAGAATTACTCTATAGTATATACCAGCATTTTTGATCTCTTGAATGAGTGCATGCTAATGAGTGCTAAGCATAACTCCTCAGCCTAAACATTAAGGTAACCTAAATTCAGTGACTTATTTGACTATACTTGGTCTCTACATGTTTTTTAAATAAAAGGTTTAGTTTCAAATATTCTCAATTAAAATATGTCTGTAGGATGCTGAACTCTTCTACCGCTAGCATGAAACAAAGGATATGTAGACAACAGCGGTCCATTTAAAAAAAATCATTGCTTAAGGCTTAAGGCACTGAAGTCGATGGGACATTTTTTAAATGGGAGCAGGAGCAGCCCTTGCATTTTCCATCTAAAGTCAACAAAAGACAATATTGATGAAGGTCTTAAAAAAACTCTGTCTCCTTTACAAAGTCGAACACATATTTGTTTCTAAAACTTGCTACCTTCTAAGATTTGATGGATATGTATGATAAAATATAAACCTCAGTGTTCCTCAACCAGCCTAACAGTGGATCATGAAATGTGACGTTAAATACCTTTATATTGATAATGACCTTAGAATGCTATATGTGAACTAAATATCTGATCTAATCCTATTGTTAGGTTCCTTATAATACACCTATATCCTCCATAAACTTGTTTGACTAATTCTCCTAACAGATGGACAAATATGGCAACCATTAAATATGTCAGCTGTAAAATATATGCCACCTGCCATGGTTACTGTAGATTAGGCACTTTGAAGATTAAATCATGCTTAGTAAGATTTTAACCGTTTCCAGAAATTGCAAAATATTTTATTTATTTTTATAAAATTCATAAAAGGAGGGATAAGATACAAAAATGAACAATATTTTCTTTAGGAACTGCACTTTGAAAAATATAATACCTATGCCAAGGTACTCTTCTCAAGAGACTGCTCATGGTAAACTTACAAGCAGGAGAAAGAGAAGGAGTTTTTGTAGGTTTTATGTTCTTCTCCAAGTACACATGCTGTGCATAGCAAATAACCTCATGAAACTACATGTAAAGAACAAACAGGCAAATCACTCTCCACGTCAGGGACGTGGTGACATCAAACCACAAGAGCAAATGTTGAGTGATCTGTCAGTTGCTACAGCTTCACATTATGATCTAATATAGCTGATCTAATACTGTACTTATATCCTCTTCTCCCCTTTCCTTTCCTCAGATTACCCCCTCACATCCCGCACAGGTCTCACCTCTCCTTTCTCCAAGCTCCTCTCTCTAAGCTCCAACTGAAGTGACTGGAGCCTACCAATGCTGTTATCAAAGTGATCTTGGCCTTATGAAGGTGCTGACAAAATTCCTGTATGGACCCCACTGGAGTGTTATCATTAGTACGGTTTCCTAACTCAGAGGAGCATACCACAAAACCCATAAAACCTGATAGCTTAACAGTGCCTTGCATGTACATTATAGTTTATTGATTTAGTATATGTTGATTTTATATACGGGCAAACAAAGATATTGTGCATATGATTAACACACATATATTATATCCCCCCCGAGACAAATATATAGAAATAAACTCTACCGATTTTGCTTATTGCTCTATGTACATATCTCTAAAGATGGAATGTATTTTTGTCACTATGAATACTGTTTTCACAAGGTACTGCACAACACTAGAGATATGCATGATATAAATACACAGTAATACTTCCCACTCTTAATGTTCAAATATAAAATACAAATTAGGAAAATTGTGATAACTTGCTGAGTAAAAGCACTTATAATTAGCAAAATTTAACTATATTTGAATTGGTCTCCTGTAAATGTCAATGTTCAGCAAGCTTGAGTTACAAAAAGGAGCTTGCACAATGTGAAAGTGCCCACTCTCTTAACACTCATATTTGTTTTTGTTTGTGGGGGATGTGACAGGAGTTATATTCTGGGCAAGGGAGTATTTAATTTTTTTTAAAAAATATTTTTAATTAAAATGCATCTTGAGGTTTTTTAATAAACACACTCAAATAGTTACAAGGTCAGAAATGTCATGGACAAAAAACAGTTTTGACCTAACACTTGAAAAGGGTGGAGGGTGAAAGGGGGGGGGGGAGTTTGAAGCAATACATATGCATGTATTTGAGAAGTAAACTGGGGAACATTTACATTCACACTTGTGTAATGTGTGTAACATTTAGCTTCTGGGGCTCTAAAAATTTTGCTGGATAAAATGCAACTGTATTACAGTATTATTTCTGTTAACATATGCAACTGTAAAAATGTAAAATCTATACGACATTTCAAGCATAGCTTTGGGTTGCAATGAAAATAAATAAAATAATCCCGCAGTTAAATCAATGTCAAGTAGAATGTAGTGTGCAAAAGAGAATGAACCACTGTTGGGATGAACCACCCAGGCTGTTTGAGACCAGAATCTATTGTGTATTACTGATACTACAGTGATGGCTGCACATTATAGAAATGTGCATATTAAAGAATGACCATCATTATTCTAGTAAAAGTACCCTGCAATCCTGGTTACAGCTGTGGTTTGTGAAAGTCCATGAGTCCACATCCATGGCTCTGGTGCCACACCTGAACTCTGTGGATTACCAATCAGCCAATTACCATCAATAGAGGGCTACCAAGCAAACTCTTTTGTGGTGATAGGATGAAGCCTTTGCAAATGGGTGAAGACTGTTCTGGCTATGGGAGTAGGCAGAAGATATCTACAGCGTTTGACCAGAGAAGACGTAGGATCTATTCCCAGCACTACCACTCATCATCTTTGGACAAGTAATTTCATCTCTCTGCACTTCTGCTTTCGTTTAGTCTTCCTTTTCTTTTTAGATTGCAAAGAATTAGCAGGCAGGGACTGTCTCTTACTGACTCTGTACTGTGCCTAGCACAACAGGTCCCAGACCTTAGTTCAGGTCTCTAGAGAATACCATAATAAAAATAATAAACTAACACATCACCCTGATTCTATTTTAACTGAAATTATAGATTTTTCTAATAGTGCTAAAACAAAATCCATTTGAAGGCCACTTTCTTTAATGGCAATGAAAGAAATGAGCTGAGCTCAGAAAGCAAGCACAAGCTCTTTGCATGCCAAATACTACCATAGAACCACAGGCCCAAACCTTGGCTCTCATTGAAGTCACTGGGACTGTTACATTGAAGTTCAATGGATGCAGGATCAGGGCCATTGCAATTGCATTCTGAATACTTTCAAAAAATGTCAATTTTGATTCTAGCCAGCTGATGTAACTACAATACATTTCTCCCTCTCTCTACAAATAAGGCGGCATGCAGGCAAATGAACTATCACACCAATATAAGTTAATGTAACACACTTGTTGTGACTTAAGAGTCATTATGGTTTTTTTGTCCCCAACATTTTATACACTGCGGTACTAGACTGCAAAACATCATGATCCATCCTCAGTTCAATATATTAAAAGAAATAAAATATTTGTGACATAAACTGGTGCTACTTTTATTTACATAAAAGAAAAGATGCTCACTTGAGCTAAAGAACATAACAAATTTTAATTCCTGTTAGGAAGTAGCTTTATTGAAAATAGCAGCTATTTTC